CGAGATTGTTCCAAGATGGCCCAAGACACCTCCGCGATGCGCCCGAAGGTTCAATGCGCCCCCAAGAACCCAAGAACTCCAAAACGCACAGCGGTGACCAAAGCGCATCGAGGAGCCCCGACGCGCGAGCTAGAGCACCCAGCGGTGGGACAATGCGAACGAAAGCCCTCGCCTCACCCCCCTTTGGCCGAAGCCCTCCAACGCGCCACCCCGTGACTGGAGGAGGGTGGGTATCTACTTCCTCCCTGTGTTTACTTCGGCGCGTGCCCCATTTTCGCTGCGTTGTATTTTACTGCGTTGCATTTGGCCGCCCAGGGCGAGGGTGACAAAATGCGACGCAGCAAACTGCAACACAGCCAATAACGATGTGAGCGTCGGCGGTAACATTTTCCCGCCACCCTTCCAGTAAGGGTGAATGCCATTTCGTTTCCTGGTGCGCCCCCCCCGCCCCCCCCCAGCCTCGTGCTCAAATCACCCCTCCCCCAGTCCTGCTCATCATCCCCCCCTCATTCGTCCAGTTGCAGTTTTTCAACTCCTCGGATCAAAGCAACTCGCCTAGGCATCGCCCCAGGTTGGGATGGCGGGGCGCGCGAAGCGTCGCACATGTTCAGGACTTGTGGTTTCGCACGCACCTTCCGTTGCATGGCCTGCGCGCGGCCGTCCTCTCTCATTCCGCCGCGCGCGCGCCATGCGCGCGCGGCCGTCCTCACCCACTCCCGCACTCGCTCACTCCGTCATGCAAGGAATGCCGCCCGTCATGCAAGGAATGCCGTCCTCAGTCCGTCTCAATGTCCTCATCCATGTGCGCCACGAGCACCTGCACCTCGTACTTGACAGTGAAGCGCAGCTTCTTGACCTCATGATGCGGGCGGCAATGGCCGATGTGAGCCGCCAGCAACCGATAGAACACTGCTTTCTCGTGGGGGTCCATGTCGTTCGTGTCCTTGAACTCGCGGGAGATATTCACATTCTGCTTCCCCCACGTGATGCCAGGGTTCTCGGAGACCGCAACGCTCGTGCCCTCGTCGGCCAGGCCAACTCTAGTCAGGGACTCCTCTGGCGTGGTAGGCTGGCGGCCAAGGACGTCCGCCGAAGGGGCAGCCGTCGAGTCCTGTGAAATGAGAGGGAGCACGGTAAGATGACCCACGGGCCCAATGGGACCTCCGTCCGACTCGGCTTTCACCTCCACGCTGGCTGGATCGTGCGTCTCCGCGGCTTGACTCTGGGCGCCGAGAAAGGCTTCCGCTGGCGTGTCTGTGACCTCTGGGCTTCCTCGGCCCTCGGTGACAGGGCTGGCCAAGCCAGCGGAATCTGCGACCACCATTGCGTTGTCTTGCGTCAAACGCAACAGAAGGTTCTCGAATATGGTCGCGCGCGTGCGTGCCGAATAATGCCTTGAGCCAAAACGGTTACGGACGGAGAGGGCGAGGCCATCAGCAATGACACGAAGGGAAGAACGAGATGGGGCGTCGAATCACGCCGCGAATGGAGCGGGCGATGGGGGCGGGGAAAAAGGGTGCGAACGAATCCACCCCAGTCTCGGCTTCGTCGCTCGGCCAGCGCATCCGCGGCAACGTTTACCTGGGCTCGGTTTCGAACGGGCGTCACATGTTCAGGGGGTTGCGCCGATGACCTGGACTCCACCCTGGGCCCTGGGCCCCCGACGAAGAGGGCATCCCGCGCCATGGGCGCGGGAAGGGCCCGCCTCCCACCCGCCAGCGTGGACCGAGGACAGAGAAAACGCAACAGACTGGCGCTGCTGCTTGTCCAGCGCAGGGGGCGAGGTCAGCGGAGCGGGCGTGACTGGAGGGCGGGCTTCACGCGTGCCAGAACTCGGAGTTATCAGCGACCCGCTGCGAGCAAGACAGACTGCGGCTCCCGACGGACGATCGGCCGTTTGGCATGGAAGATATCCAACGCTGGGCGCACCATTGCCTTGCGCCCCTGCGGCTGCGAGGATGGAGGGCGGCCACTTTCCCAAACCACGCTGTGCAATGGATTCGGCGCCACGCGGGCGCTTCGGTACTTCTGCGATGCACGCCTTGATGGAGGGCGCTCCCTTCTCGATCGTGCTCTGTCGCAATGCCCAATAGGACCTCCATCCGACCACCCGCTCACATTAGGAAAACTGCTGCGCTTTTCTCGGCGCGCGGGCCCACGGGGCCGACGGCGTCCCTGGAAGGAGCGGGTGCCAAGCGGCCCAAAGGGCCTTTGGCCTACCATGAGGCCCCGAAGCGTACGCGCCCCCCCCCCCCCCTGCGCCACACTGGCGGCACGCATTGGGATTGCCCGTACCTTATCAGAGCGAGGGGGCCCGAACTGTCATTCACTGTCCCTGGGTGCGCGGCTGAAGTGGGGGTCCGCGGTGAGGATTCTGCTGCTGCTGCTGCTTGTTGTTGTTTTGCTGTCGTCGTCCCCCCCGCGACCCCCGCCCGCGACCCACCCGCGACCCACCCGCGACCCACCCGCGACCCACCCCGCGACCCGCCCCGCGACCCACCCGCGACCCACCCGCGACCCACCCACGACCCACCCCGCGACCCACCGCGCGGCCCACCCGCGAGCCACCCGCGACGACACGCCCTGCGACCCACTCCGCGCCCGCCCCCTCGCTCTTATCCGCAATTGCGGGGTGCTACGTATACCAATCGCCCCCCCCCCCCTCGCAGCTCCACCCCTCGCCCAGCATAAAACTTAACCAACCCCTTCCACCTCCCAACCCCCGCCACTGCAGACGCACGTTTTTTCTCCAGCTCACGGCAGGCCTGGTGGTTCGGGCCTGCCGCGTGGGTTCTCATGCTGCAGCACGTCGTTGCTGCCTGCTATTTTTCCAACTCCTTCCTGTACTTGATCCTGGCCTTGTGGTTCGGGAAGCACATCTTGTTGTGCACGTGTTCGTGGCAATTGGGGAAGGCCCCCGAGAACGCCAGTGAAATCCAACCCATCATGAGACCCAATGGTTTGCCTTGGGCGGGTCTCTTGTCATTGCGTCTCGAAGTGCGCGTCAATCTGCACTTCTTGCCGTGCTTCGGGTTCGGGCACTCCGCAACGAAGTCGCCGTTCTTGTAGTAGGAGATGCGGCCGCCGCCTGGGATGTCCAGCACATCGAGGACTCGGCCGCGAGGTCCACGCGATGCGCCGCCACTCGAGGATGATGAGCTCGAAGAACTACTGCTAGAAGAAGATCTCGAACTGGCAGCGGGCTCGGCTGGCTCGGGCGGCGGCGGCGGAGCTGGCTCGGGCGGGGGCGGCGCGCCCCCTGGATGTACAGCACCTTCGCCCCCTCCGCCGTCGTGTCCACCAACACCTTCGTCGCCCCCTCCGCCGTCGTGTCCGCCGCCGTGTCCACCGCTCTCGTCACCGCGGCTTGACTCGAGAACCCCAAGGTGGTGCTTCACCAACTCCCACATATCGGGCCCCTCATCAGAGTCCTGATCGGAGGCCGATTCAGCGCCCTCCTCCTCATTCTCGCCCTCGGTGTCGCCGTGGCCCTCTGCATTGCCGTCGCAGCCGCTGCCCTCGTCGGGTTCGTCGTCCTCCAGCGCATCGGCGGTCGGCTTCTTTGGCCCAGCGGGCTTCGGTGCATCGTCAGCTTTGCCTCTGGTTCGCTTGCGCCTCCGCACGGGCCACACGTCGACCTCGCCGTCGGGCAATGGCAATGCCTCCACTGGGACCAACGTAACATCGAAGAGCCCCGTGTGCTCGCACGTATCCACCAGCCGATACAAGCTGCAAGTCCACGAACATAAGCGATCCAAGTTTGAGAACAAAGCCCACTCGTAGAAATACCTGCGTTGCGCCCGCAGCCAGACGTACGGGGTCTCGCCGTCCACGGGTTCCTGCAGCAACTCGTGGAACTCGGGCTGGTACGGGCTCAGAAGCAAGAAGCCGATATGAAACCAATATACGCCGTGGCTGAAACTGTAGGCCTCAGGGGGGTCGCCATCGTCGTCCGCGAGCGCAGAGTCGAGCCGTGCTGATTGGGGCGGCTTGACGCCCTGCAGCCTCAGCACCAAGCACGCATCCTTCAGCAGCTGCACGTTCGCAGATGTTCGTGGACATATCCTCTTCAGGGCAGATATTACAGAATTTCGCAGGCTGGCCACGAGCTTCCCATCCTCCGAGCACACGCAGTAGCCATACCCTCTGCACTTCTTGTTACACTCGCCCCTCCGTTCAGGCTCTTTCCACTGAGGCTGGTCGTCGTGCTTTATCAGCCGATTCTTCTTGGCCCAGTCGCGCTTCAGGATGCACCCCAAGTTGGAGCTTCGCCTGTTCCCCATTACAAACGAAGCGATGTCACTCGCCTTCTTGGACAAGTCGAACATGACCTCATAAATCTCCAAGCCGCTCGAGGGGAGCGGCTGCAGGGCAGGCTGGCAAGGTGCCAGCGTAGGGCCCAACTCGATGAGGTTCCGAAGCCGATCCGCCCCGTGCTGCGCGTCCCACGCGTCGAGAATGTCTGTCGAGGCATCCAGCTTCTTATTCTTGGACGCCATGAGCTGCTTCGCCGCGGATCGAGCAGCCGTCCGATGCTTGTCAACATCTGCGTCGCAACTCGATGGAGAGAATGTGCCCCCAAGCAATGGTAAGACAGATATGGTGGATTCGGCTCCGCTGCAATACCTATCAACAAGTGCTTTCATAATCTTATTACTTGTGAACCTCTGAACGTCCCGTGTAGTCGGGCCGAATGAGGCGCCGCCTGCCCTGTGGCTGCGGGTCGCCCTCGCGGCCGCGGCTGCAAGACGCATCTCCTCTGGGCCAGTCTTGTCTCGGGCCCTGTGCAGCTCGCCAATCCGTCGAAGGTCTGGGCGCTCAGCAGTGCCAATGGAATGGTGTCTTACGAAAGCCCTCCACTTCCCTCCCCCGCCCATGCTTTTCTTGACTGATTTGGAATGCTGGCCCGATCTTTCACGTCCTTTCGCTTTGGCTTCACGACTGCTCTTCAATGCCCGATGCGTCGCGATGACGATCCGCCCGCAACGCTTCAAGCGTACCCTGAACTTCTGGCACGTGACCTGCGCGTTCACATAATCGAAATTCGCACGGTTCGTGTTGACGCTCTGCGCATCCACGTGCCTCTTGAAAGATGAGTGGTCGTGCTCGCATTTAACGTTCTCCACGTGCGTTATCTGGGCCACAGTGATCAACTTAGCGATGCATTCCTCGTTGCCTAGCGCGTCTCCTGGATACGATTCCAAAATATGATCCGAGAAGACATCCCGCAAGCAGCGCGGTTGGTCCTGCAGTTGTTTGGCGCAGTCCACACCCAGGATCAAGGCGAAGAGGGCAACGGGGAACTCGTCCGCAGGCTTCACAAGATAATGGTTCACCAAGCAACCAGACCTTGACAACATCCTGAAACACACTGACCGAAATGCAAACGTACGAGACTGCAATGGGATGAAGTCCCACACTCTGGAGTCCCACGCCTTGTCCAAATCCTCGAAGAACTCCTTCTCGTACACCAGCCCAGCGTACCGTCTCCACCCATTTCAACGTATTCTTCTTGTCCGTCTCATTCTGGTGGTGCCATGTCGGCGCGTGTCCGTGTTCCGCGGCCTGCGCTGCAGCGGCGCCCATGGGCACCTCGCCGCCCGCTGGGGAAGCCGACCGCGGCCCGCCGCCAGCGCGGGGCCGTCGGTCGGCAGGCCGACTGTCAGCCGCGCGGTCACCCTCGCGCATACCGTCGCTCGGGCCCGCGGCAGAATTCACGAACAACTGGTAGGCTGGAAAAAGAAGCCCGTGTATGCAAGCAGCCAAACCAATCTCATCAATGGAAACGTCCGCGCCCGTCCAGCGATGACGAGGGTAGGTGCTGAATGACTTCCCCAAGCAAACAAAGTTCAGACAACGTACAACATTCTTCTCCACTTGTCTTCGAACCGTGGCTGGGATTGGACCTTCACCATCGATGTACACAACAAATTTGGAGTGGTCCTGCCACGGGCCGTTCAGAATAGTTTTGGCCATGTGCGCCTTCTCACCGTGCTTCTGCCCCTTGGTCAGGAAGAGGTTCAGCATGGTCTCCCGATACTCCTCGTCCAACGCAGTTGGCCTCCCTCGCTCCACCACCAATCGTTTGCGAGCCACGGTGGTGAATGCGCGCCTGAAGGAGCTCATGGCCGATGCTGATGATACTGACAGTGATAGTTGTATGGCTCCAGTGATGTCATCTTTTACCAAGTCGTATGTTTTGGTGTGGCCTGTCGCAACCTTGTGAACATTACACGGCATGTGCAAGTTGACCCATCCATCGTCGCGATCCGCCATCATGCCCCTCTCGGTCATATAGTTCGCTGATGCGGCATCTGTGGTTGCAATTCGTAGCCGTGTGTCGTAATGGTCCGCGTCAATGAACGTGCCGCACGTCTCGATGAGCGCCTGCTTTGCACACTTAGCCGTGCCGCGGTCTACAACCTGGGTCCATGTCAGCGTGGGGCCGAAGAAATTGACGAGCCGTCTGCGCTCGCCATCCTGAATACTGATCAGAGCGGCCCAACCATGTTCTGAACCAAACAGGTGTGCTCGATTCGGGGTCTGGCCATCCTTGGCGAGTGTCGCAGACTCCAACTCTTTGCTAAGGGCGAGGTCGGGCGCTATGTCCATGAGAGCCTCCGTGTTAGATGTAGCGTCCAGGAGTGGCACAGCCGAGTCCGCATCATATCGTTTCAGTCCAACGTTGAGCTCCGTAGCGTCGTACCTCGAGAACTCCACGAAAAGCAGCAACGACGTGGCATCTCTACGGATGCTTTCGTTGAGCAGTTGGAGCGCACAGCGGTCGCAATGCACGAGACAGCTTGCAATCATCTCGACGATCTCGCCATGACGCCTCCTGTCGCCACCCACGATCATGGAGCCAGCAGCCCTTGAAACAATCTTCGGGGGGCGCTCAATGTCCAAGACGTTGTCGGCTACTGTCGCCGTGGCCTCACAGTGGTATCGTGGGCCGTCGTCGCGAGGTCGTAGTGAGATCACGTCGAACGAGCGGCGAAGCGGGGCGATCGCGAAGCCTCTTAGAGGCCCCTCCATCGACGATGCCTCCCTCACCGTCGGGTTCCACAGCCTGCGTCGGTCAATCGGCGACCACGGGACGAGCTGGAAGAGCAACGGCGAGCCACGATCTGCGCCATCGACGCCCATGGCGCCATCGACGTCTGTGGCGCCATCTGCGCCATGATCTGCAAGGCCATCGACGTCCATTGCGCCATCGACGTCAGTCGCCTCATCTTCATTGCCAGAGTCGCCTAGGGCGAACGCAAGCCAAGCGTCGGACATGTCATGGCCGACAAGTGAGCAACCGAGCGAAACAGTTTGAGCCAAAAGTGGCGACGGTGCAACCCATGAATGCCTATGTGCACTTACATGTTGCTGCTATGTTTCTTGATCCTCCTCCTCCTATTCCTTGCTCTCCTCCCCGTCCACCTCCTCTAGGCCCTACCCGTCATCCCCTCACCTATCTGTTTGCTCGCCCTAACAGCGGCCCGCGAAGATATCCCCCGACCCCACTGGGCCCCCCCGAGCGTGAGAAGGACAAGAGGGCCTCATCAGGGGCCCCAGGGCGCATTGGAGGGCGCACGGCTGTCGACCGCGCGCGTTTCAATGGCGTTCCTCCGAGGGCCTCTGAAACAACCTGGTGGGCCAACAATGCTGGGCCCGAAGGCGACCTTGGTATGGTTTGATATGGCGTGTTGAACTGCGGTGTGAATCAATCTGGATTCGGCAATGTCGGGCCGCGTAAAGCTTTTCGCTGGCGTTTGAACTCAAACGCTCAACTCAGCTATTTTTGAAAAGCGCTCAACTCAAAACGCAACTTTTTTATGGTTTTCAACGAACGTCGGTTTCAACTATGTTTCCGACTCGTTTCCTAACTCCGCAGGATTTCGCCGATCAGGCCTCTGTAGGAGGCGTTTGGCTCCTCAACCTTAGGTTCAGAAGACGACAGGGCCGTGCGGCCCCGATTGACCCCGATTGAGGACGTGGTGAGCCCGGCCGCCAGAGTGGCCACTATGGTTCGAGAAATCGAGAACGTTCGCGCTGCGAACGGAATGCCCCCGGGACCCTCTCCAGATCACCATCCATGTCACGTGTGGGGACGAGTCCCTCGTTTGAGGTCGGTGTCGCTTCCGAGACCGTCCGCGAGACGGTATGCTCCTTTTCCCTCCTCCGGGTCCTCTCCTGCTGCCTCGTCCTCCTCCGCTCTCGTTCCTTCCGTTTCCCCCTCTACGGAGCTCCCGGAACATTTGCGTCGTGCGCTTGACGCTCCTGCTCCCCCCCCGCAACCTATGGACCTGGGAAGGCACGTGGTTCCGACAGCCCCGAGGGGAGACGGGGCCCCGGATGAGACCCCTCCTGGAGGCCTGGACGAGATGGACGACTCCCAGGATGCTGAGCTCCTTGTTGAGCTGCAGCGTTGGTCAGCTATGAGGGGGGCCCCCGACTATTTAGCTCTTTTCCAGGATTCCTCGGAGTCGGACGTTTTCAGGCACGGCCACGGTTTCAGGATCAGGAAAGCCATCCAACCCCAGGGGAGCTGAGGTGGTCATGAAGAATCTGACTCCAGAGGGGCGCGCTCAGTTTGCAGAATCTGACACCGCTGAGTGGGAAGCGATCCTGTCATCAGGCGCAGTGCGAGTGCTCTCTCCAGACGAGGCACGTCTGGCTCGCAGGCGCCATCCCGATCGAGTGTTATCGTCTCGCATGGTGCGTCGTTTTAAGCCGATGGAAGGGGTTGGAGCTAAGGCGAAGGCGAAGTCGCGCTGGTGTGTTCACGGGCACCAGGACCCCGACGGCGAGCATATGACCGTGTACGCCCCGACGCCACAGACTGAGAGTATCCTCGTCACCTTGCAGGTTATCGCCTCGATGAACTGGGTTCTGAACATCGCTGATGCTAAGAACGCATTTTGCCAGTCGAATCGTTTAGAGCGTCCGAATGGTGCAATCTATGTGGAACCCTGCTCCGGGCTCAGCCTGCCCGTGGGCTCCCTAATTGAGCTAGTCGCGCCGGTGTATGGTCTTAATGATGCTCCGTTGCTTTGGCATCGCACTCTTACGGAATTCCTGTCCTCGCTCGGTTTTGTCAAGTCTCTTTTAGAGCCATGTCTCTGGCTGAAGAGGAGCAAGTTGGGAGGGCTGGAGGCCCTAGTGCTGATCGAGGTTGACGATCTTCTCCTGTCTGGCGAAGAGACCGTCATGAAGTCTCTGAAGCAGGCCCTCACGGATCGATTTAAGTTCGGGAAATGGAAGGAGCGCGAGGCCGATTACGCTGGACGGCGTCTCTGCCAGTTGCCCGATCGAATCGTCGTGGATCAAGAAAAGTATATTCGGGAGCAGCTTTCGACCATGTTCTTGGGGAAGGATCGTCGATCTCAGGTCGAGTCACCACTCACCCGGGAAGAGATCAGCTCTTACCGCACGGTGGCTGCGCAAGTTCAGTGGCTTGCACGTGAGTCTCGCCCGGACGTTGCTGGTTCAGCTTCGTTGCTTGCGGCAGTCCTGCCCACACCTTGCGTGGCAGATGCGCTTGCACTGATCAAGGTCTGCAAGTTCCTGAAAGCCTCGCCTGAGCAGAGACTCACGATCTGGAACTTGGATCTTGCTTCCGTCACTTTCGTTACCGCGAGCGATGCCGGCGGTCCCGGGAGTGCGCGTCGTGGTGGAGCCCAAGGGGCCTGGATCATCATGGCCGCGGATTCGATCATACGCGACAACCGTCGCGCGCGTGTGAGTGTTTTAGCGTGGAGATCACTGCGCATCAAGAGAGCGGTGTCCAGCACCGTGGCCGCCGAAACTCTAGCCTTGTCGGGTGCCACAGGAGAAGCTCAGTGGATTCAGGTGCTCTGGCGTGACGCTGTGTTCGGAGATGTTCCCAGGCCTGCTTGGTTTGACAACCAGCGGCCTTTCACCGTGATGCTGGCCAGCGAATGCCAGCTAGGAGATGCGGCCTCAGGGCTGTCCGTGGTTGACGCTAAGTCCGTGTTTGACGTGCTGAGTCGAAACTCAGCGGGTTCTCGGGCCGACAGAAGAAATGCTGTGGAGCTCGCGGTCATTCGAGATTCGCTCGCTTCGGTCGGCTCTCGTATGCGTTGGGTCCCGCACGCCAGAATGCCCTCAGATCCTCTCACCAAGTCGGATCCTTCCTCGGGTAATCATGCTCTAAGGGACCTCCTCTCGAAGGGCACCTTGGTGCTCGTGGACGAGCACGGACATCTGGACGAGCGATCGCTCAACGCAAGTTTGAAGTCGAGATCAAAAGGCGCCAGCCGAAAGATGCTGGCCGCCGCGGAGTCCGACACTCCAGGGCTCGAGAGCCCTGTCTGGCTTTCCCTAGGGGGAGACGGTGACGTCTCGGTTTCCTTGACCCAGGAGAGCCGAGGGGCGGCTCTCTCGTACTGTTCTAGACCCTGTAAGGTGGTTTCGAGGCCCCGTGGAGCGGCGGCTGTGTCAGCGACGACGACGATGCCGCCCGGCCCGCAGACCCGCCCGCCCCAGACCTTGAAGGACCCCAAGGTTGAGGGCGGGGCGCAGGGCAAGGCCGGGCACGGACGGAGGAAGGAGGGAGGAGGAGACCAGGGGGAAGAGACGGCGACTCGGGGGGAGCGCGGACAGCTTCAAGCCCGCGAGATTTTGGTCCGCTGTCCCCCCAATCCATGATTGGTTTCCCTCGTGTCTCTCGGGTCGGTTCCCTCCCCTCCCCTTCGTGCTTTAGCTGTGCCCAGCCTTTAGGCTCAGTGCCCGAGATGGATCTCTCTTCGCGCTGATATGATAACCTTCCCTCCTCACTCCTAGTCCCACCGCTCCCCATGTCCACCCACGGAGATGACATTGCTTGACATTCCTTGGCAGTGCTTGACGTTGCTTGGCATTGCTTCGCATTGCTGGGCATTGCTTGAAATCGTTGCTGGGCTGTGCTTGGCAATGCGTGGCGTTGCCTGCCATTGTTTGACAGTGCTCGTCAATGCTGGGCATTGTGTTGCGCTGTTAGACGTTGCCTTGCATTACTTGTCGTTGCTTGCCATTGCGTGGCAGTGCTTTGAAGGAGCACGCCCCCGTGTGCCAAGACTCATGTGTACCCTTTCAGTCTGCCGGATGCCTGTGGCCATTTGGGTTCAGGCGCTCGGCCGAGTTTGAACAACGGTTGATCGCAGATGCTGGCTCTTGGGCCGTGCACCCTCGACGCCCCGCGGCGGCCGGTCAGCAAGGTTTTGCGTGAGTGCGACCTTCTCGGCCCGCGTCTCGAGCAGGCGGAGGAGGCCGAGTTCGAGGGGACCCTCGTGCAGGTAGTGGAAGCTACGGGCCCCAGCGTGGAGGCTGCGTGGCAGCCGCTGCGGGAGCTCGTTGATCGAGCCGTCGCCGAGGAAACCTTTCAGAAACACCCGAGGACGCACCACGTTTGCCATGAGCGGGCCATGCTGGAGGACGCCGCGGCGTGCCTTCGACTGACGAGCGTCCGAGGCGCGGCCGAAGTCCCGCCGCCGCCGGGGGTTTGTGCGATGGCGGGGGCCCGTTTCGCGCGGAGGAGCAGCGCGGCCGCGGAGGAGAGCCGCCGCGAGTTGGACGTGCAGGAGTGGGCTCGGTGCAAGCCTCGGGGTGCCCTCGCTCGAGACGGCGCAGGTTCGCATGGTCCCGGAGCGGTCGAACGACGGCATCGCGGGCCGCACACAAATCAACGCGGTGAGGTCGCTCGTGCGGGCCATGGAGACGATGCGCCGGTGGCTCTTGCGCGCGCACGGGGGCCCGTGGCCCGTGACGATCGTGCATGTTTTCGACCACGTGCACGCCAGGCGGCCGAGCCGTGTGGACCGACGGTGCTCAACCAGACCTTGCGCGCCTCGGTCTAGGCGGAGCGGGTCGCGTGTGTCGACGCGAGCGACAAAGTCTCCGCTCGGCCAGAGGCGCAGCAGGTCGTCGTGGGCGGAGGGCTGACGGCATCGCTGGGGCGCGCGAAGACCAGCGGAGCAGGGGGCTAGAAGTCAGAACTGCCGCTCGCGTTATCCCGAGAGTGCTACATGTTGGGCCCAGCGCGATTCCGACTTTATTGTTGTTTCTCTCCCTCTCTCTCCCTTGGGCTATAGACATATACCTCTCTCTCTCGCTTTTTCTCTCGTTCGCTCTCTCTTTCTCTCTCTCTCTCTCTTGGTTTCTGTCTCTCTCTCTCTCTCTCGAATTTCTCTTGTTGTTTTTTGTTGTTTCTCTCTATCTCTCTTTCTCTCTCTCTCTCAATCGTTTTGGTTGTCTCTCTAGATTTGTTTGTTTCCTTGTTCCATACTGTGTCTATCCTGTAGCTGGTGTTTCGAATCTTGGACATTCAGGTCTCACTGTCGGTCCTCTTGCGGCGCTATTGGGTGGTCTTGAAACCATGTTGGATCACCTTGGGGCAATACTGGGCCTTCCTGGCAGCTCGGGAACGCGCATCCATTTACGAGGGGCCGTGGTCTCGGGAGCGCGGGCCCACAGTTTTTTACCGAGATCATGGCCGGCCGCGGACTCATCGATGTTTACAGTCGATCGTGGCCTCGGGAGCGAGGGCCCGTTGTGTTTTTCGACGGGTCGTGGCGTTGGGATCGCGTATCAATAGTTGTGTTGTTTGGGGGGAAAGGGCGGGGGCGATGCATGCAAGCGGGTACTCTGAGAGAGCGGGGGGGGCCTTAGAATATTTACGGGAACCCTACCAGGCATCCCTTGGTGTTCCATTGTGCCTGAACGTTGCATGGGGCGCGGAGGCAGATGGTATTGGCCCCTGATCTCTGATGCCCTTACGTCCCTGAGACATGTTTTCCTCCGTGGGCTTCCTTGTTCGATTGCCCTGTGGTTTGGAACGCCGCCGAACTCGCGAACAAGTGCCTGTCGTATTTGTTGTTCGACGCCCAGGGTAAGGCACCCCAGGTCCCATCTCGTGCCTTTACTCCGTATCACCCTCGCTGGTCGGATTTTGCGTGATGTGTATCGCCCGCGTTACTTTTTGTCTGTGTGCCCATTTGTTCTAGTTTCTTTTACGTTGCTTCACACCACCTGTCGGATCGACGCGGAGGTCTTGCAGGAACGTCTCGTCATTTGGCAGACCACGGGGGTTTCGTCCTCCCGCCCTTCCCTGTGGCCGTTCCAAGGAGGAGCAGGACGAGGCCACGGAGGCCAGGCTGAGGGCCCGGCGCGACGTCAGCGCGGTGTCCTACGGTCGCCTGGGAGGGGGGAAGTCTGCCCTCGCGTGGACGGCCGTCCTGCCCAGATGTTTGGCGCCCTGCCCAGCCCACCAGGCGTCCAAAAAGAGTGAACCTGGCGCGACCCTAAGTTGATGCGCCATGTTGTTGAAGGCGCACGTGCGCAGTGCAATGCGAAACCATGATATGCAACGCAATTAGTGGTAACTAGCTCTGGGCTCGTCAGACTGGACGAGGGTAGGATACGAACAGGGGGGCTTACGAAATCTGCTGCATGCAGCTGGTTTCATCCCCCCCGCCGGGCCCGGTCCTCGATGCATGGCCGCCTCCTTGCGCCAGGAGGCGCCAGAAAAACCGGTTGCACTAGCTCACTCTTAAGTCGGGCTTGTCCCTCTACAGGAGGAATATTCAAAGTTAGTAAAAAAATAGTATGGGGATTATGTTTTGAATATTTTTTTTGACAATCTTGGAGTATGTTTGGGGTATTTTTTAATTTTTCGTCGAAAATCCCCCTGTAGGTGGACACGCCCGACTTAAGCTTATTCTTTACCCAACCCTTTACGATCGTACCCGTTCCTTGTGTACCATCGCACCTCATCTCCCAACCGGACTCTATGTCGGGCGCTCGGGTCGGCATGGGCCACGGTTGGCAGGACCTTTTATTCGTGCGGTCGTGTCGGATCGGGCGGAACCATGCTCGGGAAGAGAGGGGGTGATTGAGGGAGGGATGCAGGGAAGGATGAAGGGCGGAAGGGAGGAGGGGGGAGGGGGGAGTGGGCAGGACGGAGAGAGAAGGAAAAGGTCCGCGTGAGGAATTTGCGCGTGATGGGTTAAAGAAGTACGACAGTTTCACGGAGGGGGGAACCCGAAGCAGCTTGCGGCTAGGCGAGAGTGCGATTCCAAAGTGCATGATCGCCAGCGTGTACCCCAAACAGCCGGTTTGTTGTTCACTTGCCGATGAGTAGTATGTTATGCTATTCAAGTCATGTAGTGCAGCTGGTGTGGTGATGCGACCTGTATATGGCTGTAATAACGTTGCGCAAAACATGCGATGCAATCGATGCGGTATCACGCATGTCGCGCGTGCCACAACAAGCGAGGCACCATAGAGCGTCAGCGTTAGGACGCTGTCTGTAGAGAATCAAGGCGAAAACGAGACCTCGCAACACATGAGGCATCATCGAGCACGAGGCACGGGGCACCACCCATATAAGACACCAGGAAGGCAACCAGACCTTGCAAACAACCTCGCACTGCTGCGCACCAGCCATACTGCACCACCCGTACGGCACCAGGGCAATAGCTAGATGTCGCAACAGCCGAAGCGTCATCATGCGATTGGCATATGGTAGCATCCATACAGCACGAGGGGAAGAACACGAAGTCGCAGCAAGGCCCATCATGGATCACCAGCAATAGAGCATCACCCATCGAGCACGGTGGCAAGAGCAGTACATAGCAGCAAACGGCCCGTCATGGAGAGCCAGCCATAGAGCACCACCCACGGAACACTAGGGCAAGACCGAGGCATCCTAGGGCACCATCCCCAGCACACTACCCGTATAGCATCAGGGCCAGCACGAGAATTTGCAACAAGCATGCGCAATTCTTGGCTCGTTGGCGCCGCTCGGAGAACCATGCGGGAGTTTGAAGCGAGAGAGTGATTCCTGAGTAATCGCAAGGACACTCCAGACGATAGATTATTGTGGAATCACTTTGTCAGGAACCTCTCAGGCGAGAGCACGATTTCTTCAATGGCGAGAGCGCGATACCTGCTAATATTGTGAGAACGTCTCAGGCGAGAACGCGGTTCGTGAATTTTCTGAGGAAGTATCCAGCGAGAGCGTGAGCCATGCGTAAGTCATGTAGAAGTCTCTGGCGGGAGCAGTTGTAGTCCTTGCCCTGTGGCGTAACAACACAGTCTGGCGCGCATGGCCATCCTTGACAAACGCACGGTCCGCGCGTCGAGCGGCGCAGTTCAATCTACGCAGACAAGCCCGAGGGACGCCGGCGAAACCATGGAACCCCCAGGGACCCCGAGAACACCCAAGAGATGACCCAGGACTGGATGGGGGAGCCCACGATCGGCACCAGCACTGCAGAACAATGATTCAGTGCGCAGTGCCATGCTGCACAGGCCTCGGCTGCAAGCTGCTATGCAACGACACACCAGTCAATGCAACGTTGCGTTGCAGGTTGCATTGCACCATGCCGCGACATGCAATGCCACGACGCGCTCTTGCATGCACTTTTTTTGTTGTCCGTGCATTGCATGCTTTGCACTTGGTATGCAGCGAGATGCGGTGCTAAACCAGGCTCCGCTATGCTATGATGTTACTGCACTCATATGCTAGGTGGCGCTGTGCATTTGCTATGCCAGGTGGTGAGTAAGTTGCACTTACCCGCTGAGCAGTTCATTACATTGCACATCAGCGCATTGGAATCATTGCATTGCGTATCCATTTGGATGCGGCAAACCCCGCCACCGCGCTTGTGCAACAGCTCAGCAGGAAGGAGGCTGAATGTAGGGAGCGCATCTCCGACGAGTGGGCTGAATTGTTGACGCTTCGCGTATCCCCGCCAATCCGTAGCCTTGGCTCAATGCATCTCACGGGCCTGGCTCCCTCGGGCCAGTCTCCCGTGCTCAAGGGGGCGCCCGTGCGCCGCGCCGCTGGCCCGCGAGCCCTCGGCCCCCTCGGGCCCCCAGCGCGCGCCCGCCATGTCCGCTGCTGCTCCGCCCGCGGCGCAGCGCCTGCCCTCGGCTCAGGTTGGATCGGGGGCGCAAGCCCATGGAGGATCTATCGGGCGGCGACGAGGGGTGCGAAGATCTTTCAGCGCATGGCATGGGAGCCCAGCCGCTGGTTCCGATCCGCCCCCCCCCCCCGGACCCAAATCTGGCGCAGAACCCCCACAGGCAGCAGGACCTTCCTGCAGTAGGGGCAGAGCAGGGGCTGGCTCCAGCGTCGCCCGCCATGGCGCGCTGCCCAGCGGAAGACGATGCCAGCGCGGAGAGAGAAGGGGTGAGACAGCAGTCCCCCGCAGATGCCCACGACCCGCCCCTGCAAAGGACGGCCGAGGCAGGTGAGACGGGCGGGTCAGGCGTGGGCGAAAGAGGCACGGGGGCGGACACTCAGGGGAGAGAGGGTCTTGACCAACCTCCCCTCATACCCTCCCTGGACCCCATCTCGATCCCCGTTCCGCCCACGCCTCCCTCCTCTCCCCGCCGTGAGACTGCCCTGGGGCCCGAGACACCGCTAGCAGGTGCTGTCCAACTCCTGGATGCTGAGGAAGACATCCCAGGAGGGAATCGAGAGGCGGTAGTGGGCGGGAACCCTAGAGAAGGTCATGATGTGGCGAACCAGCCCACAGAAGCGGACAGCGCTGTCCACCCACCATGGGGACAGGCGACTGGACCGCCCCACGCAGTGGCGGGTCTCTCCCCCGAGAGACAGCCAGAATGCGAGGGAAACACCGATCGTAATGTGACCTTGCAGCCGTTGGCTGCTCCCCCCTCCTCCTCCGTCAATACAAATGTGAATGTGGCTGTTGGCCGCGCCTCCTATCCTCCTCCTCCTCTTGACGGAAATGTGAACCCTGCGGCTGTTGGCTGCGCCCCCCACCATCAGGAGATGCAGCCTGTTGCGGGCCCTGGCCGCATCCCACCGGACGGCCTCGCCCAATATCGATCCACGCCAGCTCCCAGGGCGGGCGCTCAGAGAGTCCTCGGGGCTGGCGAGAGCGCCCACCACGGGGGCGCGATGGGCCATAATAGCACCAGCATGGGGGAATCGTCGCCCGCTCCATCCCCCCCCCGCCCCGATCCGCCCCTGCTTTCGTCCCGACCCCCTGGCAGGTGCTGGCAAAGCTGACGTTCTGGGCGACGAACACGAGATCCCCCCTACGCCCCCCCTCCACCCGATCGGGATCGGGACGGAAGGTGGACGGCAGCCGCAGGACGAGGTCGATTGGGGGTGGATCCTTGAGGCTCGCGAGCCCAGCGGAAGCACCCCCGATAGCGACGCTCACTACGACTGGGGGGGCCCCGACGCGATCGAGGACAGATCCGCCCCCGTTGCTCTCGGACGCCCGATCGCTCCTCCTCCTGGTCTCCCCTCGCCACCACCACCAGGTTCAAATCGGCGCAGTTGGGAGGGGCATTCGAACGACCCCGAGCAAAGACCCCCCAGCTACAGCACAGACATGGGCCCCGGCAGGGCCTACCACCACCCCCGACGACGCGGCAGTCGCGACGCCGACGTGCCCTTCCTGGCCCCAAAGGTCGCCGATCCAAGGGGCACCATGAGAGGGGGCACCCTTGCTGCACTCGCGGCGCATCGCGAGCCGCTGGGGGGCCCATGGAGAGCCCCCCAGGCGCACGTCTCGCAGTCGAGCGATGAGCCTGGGCCTCGAGAATATGGCAAGCTTCTGCTGGCTCCACCCCCCCCCCTGGCACGCTGGACTCCGTGCGGAGCCTCCTATGTCTGGAAACGTTCCTAGCCCTCCCAGGGCAGCGCCCAATCGGGCGACCCAGCTGGAGCGAGGACCCCCCCAGCAACGATGCACCTGCGCCCCGGCCCTCGCCCGGCTCGACCTGTCCTGGCTCGAGCGGTCCATCGCAGGCTCCGACCGCGAGGCGAGATTAGGAGGGGTGGGTCCAGACCCAGTTCAGGCGCTGGCTTTCCGGCACTCAAGCCTGTCACAGGACCCGGCCATCGAGGCTGAGAACCTGGGCTGCGAGGACCCAGCCGAGGTGAAGCTCATTGCGGCCCAGCTTGAATATGACGCCCTGCACTTTGCCTCCCTCTGTGCGGATATCGGGGTCAGGGGCCCGTCCGAAGACCTCTTTCCTGCGTCCCTATTGGGGCTCTCCAGGTGGCGGCGCGACGCTGCCCCTGACGCGATCGACGTTGGGCCCGACCCCGACCGCAAGGCCAGGCTATGCCGCTACCTTATCCACGAGCACCGCCGCAATCGGGTCCACTTCCCAGACCACAGGGAGGTCAGAAATTGGGCTGTCAATCGAGAATCGAGGGCAGTGGGTCGAGGCAGGGGCCGATGTTCTGTCCACCGAACAGCACGGGGCGGGATGCGGCGGCTGGGCCGCCCCGGCCATCCTTGGCGCAGGGCCCCGATCCCCAGGCATCCCAGGAGTCGTCCTCGAGGGCAGCGACACGCCCGAGGGACCGTGGCCCATAAACAACACCTCCCACATGATATGGTTCGGGGGTTTCTTCCACCCATCCGACAGACGCGGGTGCTGCGGTTGTTGGCTTGCACGGGACCCCCACGGTCCCAGGTGCATTGTCTGCCACAGGCTTGCTTCGCCGTGGTTTCTGGCTATGGGCGGATTCCGTTCCAATAACACCGAAGCCCCAGGTCATCCCCTAGACTTGCTTGGCACCCCGCTCCTCTTCCAGCTGGCCAGAGCGGGGGCGCGGTGCGCCCCTATTACCAGCCACATTTGCTCCCCTGATCACCTTCCAGAGACCTCCAGCTACTCTCCATCCTGGCTCATCTCGGAGTTGCTCGCGGCATGGCGCCACATGGCGGACCCGGCGCCCGCGTGCGGCGGGGCCACAAGCGAACCCTGGTACCCAACCGCAGACAGGGAGGACCCGAACCTGGGGGGCGAACCAATGCTTAGAGCTGCGGCGAGCGCGCTCGCCAGGCTCTGCAGCGCCCGGCAGGGATGGGCCCTGGAGGCCGTCACTCAAATCCGGGATCGCATCAGGGAAGTCCATTCCAGCAGGCCTCTGCGAGAGTGGGTGCCTAGAAGCCTCGCCCAACTCCCCATCATGGCGTTGCCGGCCCAGCCCCCTGACCCCGCAGGCGCAAGGACCAGGTTGGAAGATCTGAGGATGAGATTCCGGCAGTGCCTTGACAACTTCCCCGCAGGGGGCGCAGACTGGCTCCGAAGCGAAATAGGAGGAAACTTCCTGAATCAAGCCTTCGGCGCCGCCCCAGCAGACTGGCCCCGCCCCGAGGCGCGCGACGCGGGCGCCGAGGCAACTGAGGTGGCCTGCGCCGCACTCATTGCCTCCGCCAGAAGGGAAGGGAGACTCATCGCCGACCACCTCGCACCAGACAGCCCCTGCGGTGCAGCAGTGCGCCTCGCAATCACGCTACGCGCAAGGGCTCGAGGGGCGGGCCCCCCTGTATCCAATGGAGTCAACCGGCAATCCGTGAGGAGAGAGGGCTCCCAAAACCGAGCCGTCGATAGGCAGCAGCCAAATGGGGGCGCACAGTTGCCTCCAGAAAGGGAGGGCAGCGCGCGCCGCCTGCTGCAGGAGATCGCGGAGATCCGCGCGCAGGTAGCAAGCGACAGCATACCGAACGACATGACCTTGAGCAGGCTCCTGGCCCCCTTCATTTGGGAATCAGTTACAGAAGGGGGACGAAGCACACTTGAGCACGTCTTCGAGGCTACTGGGATCCCCACCCACATAGTGGCGCATGCAGCCAGGTGATGGAACGCCATGGGCATCTCCTCCCTACAGGGAGCACACCACCGCCTCGGATTTGAAGCGGCAACCCTATCGCACCTGGCTATGAGAGAGGTCGAGGCCCCCCTTCCTGGGGGATACATCCACCCAGAGCTCCAGGAACGCACTATGAGTTGGCATGACCCCTTCGGATACCTCCTGGAAGGAATCCTGACAGGAGACCGGGCCGCAGTAGAAAAGGGGAGCGCAGGCTCGACCCGCTAGGACGAGCGCCAGAAACGGCAATGCAGGTGTCGGAGGAGTAGGAGGTCGCTTCTCCCCCCCGGCCAAAGGAGGGGCGCAGGGCGCCACGACCCTTTGGCGCGAAGACATCAGACAAATACTCGGCGAGGACCCTGATAACAGCGTCAGGTCTTCCGCCCAGTCGCACCGCATAGGGGGCACGCTGGACGCTCGCATCCGAGCCCTGGACGCCACTCAGAGAGACGATGAGGCCGCAGGAAGAACCAGGCAACACTGCATCGACCGCAGCTCCTACAGCGGCGCAGACGCGCAGCTCGTGGCGGAGGGCCTCCTGCCAGAGGCCAGGTCGCATCTTGAACCGGGAAGCTGGATATCCAGGGCCATGTGGCTGCGCCTGGCACCGCATTGCACCCCCCTCCTTCGGCCAGTGCTCCAGGCGCGAGGCATGGGCACCAGGCCGTTCGAGGTCCTCACCATATGGCTGCAACTAGCAGGCATCCACACGCCCAACGACATCAGAGGCATACTGGGCGAAGGTGAGGAGCAGGGCCCCAACGCGTTTTCCCCGTCGGAAGCAGCCAGATCCGCCTCTTCCTGCGGACCACGGGGCTCAGGGCATGCCTAACCGAGGAGAAAGCGGCCTGCGCTTTCGGGAGCCTCTGGTGGGCGGAGTCTCCAGTGGCTTCCTGGGGGCTTTTTGGGGGCGTCTTGGAGGCCTCCTGGGGCCTCCTGAGAGCTTCTCGGGGGCGAGGGCTCGAGATGTCCCTTCGGGTCCCCCGTCTGGGCACCCTCTTGGAGCCGTCTTGGGTGCCTCTTGGCCTGTCTTGCAGGCGTCTCGGGCCGCCTTGGGGCCCTCTGTGGCCATGTTGGGAACCTCTTGGCGGACTTAGGGCCGTCTTGGGGCGGTCTTGGGGGCCTCTTGGGCCGACTTGGAGCGTTAGGAAGCGGAAGAGGCGAGAACGCCAACATCCTCCAACAACCGAAGGGGAATTGATGAATGTTGCCTCTTGGGGCCTTCTTGGGAGTGCTCCTGAAGGCCTTTTTGGGGGTGTCTTGCAGGCCTCATGGGTCGTCTGGAGGCCGTCAAGGCATATTGGACAGATCGTTTGGCGATTCGGGGCCCTCTTGGACCGTCTTGCGGGCCTCTTCGGGCACTCTTGGCCCGTCCTGGGTTTTTTTTGGGACCGGGAACCCCCCGGGGGGAATCGTATCTGAGCGACGACCCCCCGGGACCCCAGCGGGACCCGCCCCGGCATCTCCTCTGGGACCCCCCCGCGGGACCCCCACCAGCCCCCCCCCCCCCCCCCCCCCCCCCCTGACGGGGGAGGGATCAAATGGAAGGGGCTTTCATTCTACTGAATTACGACGTTGCTCAATTTCGCTTTGGCTGGTGCGCTTGAGGAGGAGGGCACAGGAACATGGGGGAAGCGGCAAAGGTCCAGGGGAAATGGGGGCCGCAGGGAAGGGGGACGACAGAGACGACGGTTAACGAATGAAGGATAAGACTACTCGAACGGACAAGTCCCTCACACACGCCGACAGGGTCGGCGGATTATTCCTGCTGCTGCTGCTTCTCTTGATTCTCTCCCCCGTCGCCCCTCCGCCGCTCGCGGCCAAACGAATGAAAGCGTGAAGGCGTGTCGGCGTCCGCCCGTTCCCCCTCAGTTTCTTTCTCTTCCTCCTCCTCCTCATCCTCATCCTCCTACTCCTCATCCTTTTTCCCCGTCTCTTTCTCCTCCTCGTCCTGGTCCACCTCCTCTTCGTCCTCTTCTTCCACTCCTCGTCCTCTTCTTTCCTTCCCCTCACCTTCTTCCCCCCGTCGACCGTGCGGGGGCACTACTCAGCCGGGGGCGGCGGAGGCAAATGGGTTGTGGCCCTCGACAAGGACGTGAAGACCTCCATGTTGGTGCAGGTGCCCGGCGCGAGCTGGCAAGATGAGTGCCAGGGGGAGAAGCAGCATTCCAGGGCGACAGGCGTCGCGACAAGCGACGGGCGGTGCTTTTCTCATGCGTTGCGATTTCAGCGTCCCCAGGGGCTGAGGGTCGTGTTCGGGGCCCTGGGCAAAGACAAGCCGACTCGCGGCGAAACATCTGTCCTGGCGTTGGGGTCGAGAGCTCCGGGGTCCACGTGGAAAGAGTATCACGACGCCGCGGGTCTCGAAGTGGCGGCGGGTGCGAGACCTCGGCCGTGCCAACCTTCGCTGCGCTCGCCGTCTCCATTTGGCAGGGGGTTCGTCCGAGCGCAAGCAGACGTCAGGCGCGATCGACGAGGAGGGCGCCCCCTTCCCAGCTGCGTCAATTTGCTGCCTGCGCTCGGCGCACGGGCTTTCAAGCTCCACCTACGCGCGGTTTACAGCTCTCCCTTGGCCAGGCTGCCCACCTGCACTCGTGTGGCGACTTTAGCCTCAGGCTCGAGCGCCTGAGCTCAATGCAGTGAGTAGCGCCTCTCGGCAACTCAGTGAATTCACCGTCCCGGCGACCGCACCATCCCCGTGTATCCTGCAGAAGGCCGACGCTTGGGCGTGCGGCGAAGGCGCGCGCAGCATCAGAGCCGAAAGCACCAGCCGCACCAGATGCAGTTTGTTCGCAGCGATCTGACAGCGCCTCGTAAACTTGCGCTAGGAGCCCTGACGTGGCCAGGCGGTACAGGTCTTTTCGAATCGACGTTGCGTTGGTATTCGGTCGCAGCTGGCCCGCATCTGCATTAGGAAGCGTTCGATTTGAGGCGAGGGTGGTGACAGAGGTAGTGATGAACAGCGATCGTGACTTGTTCAGGTTCAGTTTGAGGGTGGGCAGGAGAGAAAGAGCGGCTGAGAGAGAGAGAGGAGAAGATCGCACATTGAAAGGCACGCACATGAACTAGACAGACAGAGAGAGAGGGAAACGTGGATACATATTCAGTGTGAGGGAGAGAGATAGAGAAAGAGAGAGAGAGAGAGAACCAAAGACAGACAGACGAGAGACAGACAGACAGACAGAGAGCGAGCGGCGTGGTATGCAGAAATGGTGTCTGAGGGTTTCAATGGGGAGGAGGAGGAGGGAACGAGAGACGTAGAGGCAGAGACGGGAGAGGGAAGGAATATTGACCAGCGCGAGTAATGCAACGGGAGTGTCCAGTTGGCAGGGCATATGTTCAGAGTGGTTAAAGCAGAAAGTTCTCGGCGTGAAGCAGGCGAGAGACACGTTGAGGGGCAGGAAGTGGGGTGTGCCCAACGTCGAACAGCCCCGGGCGCGGCGCGCGATTGCCCTCCAGGTGGTAGCAAACGCTTCGAACCCTGTGATCAAGGACCGTGCGATGCGGCTCTCCTGACATTTTGATCTCAGCAGGATGCGAACACAAGCCACCCACGAGCGACTAGCTGCAAGGCGAAAGGGGCTTGGGCCGTGGCAACGAGTGTACCCCACAGTGCGGCCCAGAGACGAAGTGAACCAGAGGATCGAGCCAAGTTCGAGAGTTTCAGACTGACGCGCCCCCAGTTTTCAGCCGTCGCAGAGCGGGGGGGAGGACCATAAAGGAAATCCCGTTGCTCACGCAGCGCGGCCCCCTCCTCCCCCAGATCAACGGGCCTGAGATGACTGCACGCGCTGCCCTGCTGCTGCGGCCGAGGCGAGCTTGCGATCAGGGTGCTCCCGTCGCTCCCCGGGGAACGGGCTCACGCCTCCCGCGCGCTGCCATACGCCATGGAAGCGGACCTGCCCCGAGGCGGCAACACCGACGGAGAGCGCATCCACCAGGGCAATCTCCTCGTCGCTCCCACGAGATGCGGAGCCCAGATGCCTGGCGACACTCATCATCGCAGGCCATTTGTTGGACCCAGTCCCCGAGTTTCGCCTGGAACATCTGGCCGCTCAGAAAGGAGAGAATGTCGGGATACACTGGTCACTGGTGGGGGCTAATGATTCGGACGCACCACTTTTCAGGATGGATGCCCCCCTTCGTATATCCCCGAGTTTGTCCCTGATCGTTCGTTCATGTGAAAGCACGGCAAAGTCGGGGATTGGAGTCGCCATACCCATCGTTACAGCCACTTTGTGAATTACCGCTTCGGCCACAAGCCCGTGCTGAGCTGTGCAAGAACCGCCGATCCCGGATTTCAGAATAAAGCGGCAATTGTCACCCGCGACGCCGAATTGTTTAGATCGTGTGGCGTATTACTTGCAGTACATACACGCATCGTGCACCGTACATCTCATCCGTAAGGGTTTCAGGTTTGTTGAACAGCTCATCATCTCAAGAAACAGTTCAGTTGCAACCTGTGCAAGTTGTTTCCTTTTCCTCTGCAGCGAAGTCTTCGGGCAATATTGAGCCAGGTCCTGCTGCTCATTGCTGTCATTACCGACGATTGCCAGTCATGTTGCTGACCTCAGCCAGGCCGTACTTGCTGAATTCAGCCAATTGGTGCCAGCGTTGTTGCCAGTCATGCGACCGACATATTCAACCAGGTCATGCTGCTGAATGCAGTCGCGATGCCAGCGCGTTGGCCGCATGCGCGAACTTGTGGTGCTTGTGCCGGGCCAGCAAGGAACGCACGGCAACAAAAGAGACGTGAGTTGTGCAAGTTTCGGTTGTCGGCGGGCATTGGCCCGACGATGCCAGGTGGCCTCACGCTCGCCGCGCGCCGAGGCGCTTTCACCGAAGGCGACACCAGCCCCATCGCAGGACCAGTGGCTAGGGTCTGGGCCTCCCAGATAGGTTCGGAGTAGACGGGGTCGGAGGATCGCGCCGCATTGGCGATGCGGCTCGATTTGGAGCATGAGTTTCTCCGCGCCAGCGTCTCCGATGCTCCGCCGACGTCGCCGATGCATCATCGATGCATCGCCGATGTATCGGCGATGCCGCGAGATCCTCCGACCCCATCTAGTCGGACCCCATCTAGGAGGCCCCCAATAAAAGGGCAGCCCGGCAGCAGGCCGCGGCTGCGGCTCGAGCCCCTCCGTGGCTTGCCGCGCCCTCCTCTTCCCTTTTCGTCATATCTCTTCTCCATCCTGCTGCTTCTCATGTGAGTCTGCCGTTTGCATGGAGAAGAGAAGGGAAACGATATGTAGGCAGATTAGGTCCCTAAGCGCAGGTCTCTCCACGATTGCATGGCGCAGTGCAGCATGTCCGCAAGGCGGTGTTTGTGAGAGGATGTAGACATTTCCAACACGAGCAGTGGTACCATATCGTTGATGGGTTGGGTTCTTCGCGACGGCACGTATGGAGTACGTCAGTCCCGATTCGTTGCAAACCGTCGCATTCATCGGCGTAGCACGACATACGTGCAGTGCGACATACATCGTGCTAGCAGCCGCCAAGCTCTGAGTTGCAATGCAATGTTCTTGGGGAGGAAGGAGGAGGCGAAGGAGAAGGAGGAGGTTGAGGATGGGGGGGAACATCAGCGGTGCACGAGCCATGTATGGCAGCAGGATCAGCAGAATAATGATAAGTGGTTGCATGAGGAGGATGATGGGACTCTCCGTCGTACGAGTATCTTGATTTCTTCGATTGTGTGTCTGATTGTCATGTTGATGGTTACATTGTCTTATACATGTTTGATGTTGTGCAGCGTTGCCGTCCGCATAGCATTCGCCAGGATACTGGTTTGAGTAAAGGATGAAAATATCAAAGGGAGAGAGAGAGAGAGAGAGGTGTAAGCGAGAGGAAGAGAGAGAGAGAGAGACAGCGATAGTGAGAGAAGGCGAGAATGAGAGAGGGAGAGAGAGAGAGGGAGAGAGAGGGAGACACCGAGACAGAGAGCTTGATAGAGACTGAGAGCTATATATATATATATATATATGTGCTTATATATGTATAGAGAGGGAGGCGCATTGAGAGAAATATATCGGCGGCGAACGAGGGGGGAAGTGAGAAGGAGAAGGCCTTCTCAGAAGCTTGCGCGACTTCTCAGAAGCCTTCGCGCCTTCTCAGGAGTGTTTGGTGTCTTCGGGGAAGGCTCAGAAAACTTCTCAGAAGGCCCCGGGAGTTCCGAGCCCTCTGAGAACGCCTTCTCCTTCTGACTTACCCACTCGTTCGCCGCTAAATAGAGATGACGCAACGAAAGATATCGGAGGAGGAGCTGGAGAACGTGGAGAAGGAGGAGGAGGATAAGGACTTGAACAAGGAGAGGGACGGCGTGGAGGGGGTCGGGAGGGGATGAGGAGGTGGAGGCGGAAGATAAGAAGGATTATGATAATGATAATCAGAAGGAGAAGACGAAAGGAAGGGGGGGCAGGAGGTGGAGGCAGCGGGGGAAGGGGGGAAAGAGGAGATGAGGGAGGGGAAGGAGGAGGTTGAGAAGGTTGACGACGCTGACGACAACGACGACGACGAAGACGAGCAGGATCCGTGCGGAAACATCCAGTGCGCTGCCACTCTCAAGTGCCCCGGCACGTTCAAGGCCCCGCGCCCGCGTCCCACCGCGCCGCGCGCGCCCGCGGGGCGGCGGATGCCTCGAGCGGACCTTGACAGGATGTTTGCCGCATTCGGGGGCAGCCTGGACCAACCGCATTCGGCCTCGGGCTGAGGCTAGTTTCAGAAGATATCTGTTGGCTGTTTAGTTTTCCTAGGGTGCTCTCTAGCAGCGGCGCCTCGTCGAGCGCCCTCCATGGACGCCATCACCGCCCCGGACAACCCTCCCCAGCCCGACGTCCGGCTAAAGTTCCTAGACCTCTCGCGATCTGAAAAACCAGGGCGAGGCAGCAGTTGGTGCGGCATTCATGCGGGCGACGTGGTCGAGAGTTCCAGCGCTCCACTCATCGAAGAGGTCCAGGCGCCATAGACCTGGGGCCAAGAGAGGGACAAACTCAGTCGTGGCGCCGAGCTACAGAACAGCTCTGGTCCAAAAGGGAGTCGGTGTTCTTTTTTTGTTAATCCTCTCAGAACAGCTCTGGGACAACAGACACCATCATACACCTAGACGGCTGATATCCCAGGACTCCAGAAGGCAGGTCAACGTGATTCAAGCGGTGGCGCGCAAAAAATCAGGACGTCCAGGAACAGATGGGAGAATATGGGATATGTGTGCCCCCCTGGACTCTTTCTATAAAAAGGGAGGCAATGAGAGAGAGAGAGAGAGCGGGTGGCGTTCTCGGAAGGTGGGCGGGGCGGGGGGCCTTTCTTGGAACGATGTTGCCCTTCAAGAGGCCACGCGCCCTGCACCCTCCAGGAAACGGGGAGCCTTCTTGGAAGGCCGCCCCCAGGGGAACAGGCAATGACATGAACACACAGAAAGTCGGAAGTCCGCGAGGGTTCCTCGGATATGCGCTGGGGCCCCAAGGCGGCGCCTCTAGCGCCGCCCGTGGCGCGCTCCGCGCGCCAGAGAGAGAGACCCAGCGCCGATCCGATCCGCGCGGACCTCCAAGTTTCATGTTTTTGTCATTGCTTGTTCCCCTAGTGAGCTCTCGAGGTTCCAATGAATTTGTTTTTGCCGTTGTAATTCCACACTTGTTTGCTTGGGAGGGCTGTGTTTCTAGTAGCGTTCATGTTTTATAGTATGTTCGTGGTTGGTTTCTAATGTTCTCGAACGTTTTGGCATTGAGATCTAAAGGACTCTTGGGTTTCCAGAGATCTTCAGGAGGGGGGAAAGCATTGAAGTGGGGGATGCCAGGGAGGGATGGGTGACAACAGAGGGCGGACTTGACACCTGGGCATCCAGATAAAAACACGACGGGCGTTTCTGCACTTTTTCTTTCAGCTATGTTCTCGTGGATCGAGCTGGCTCGATAAGTCACACAAGAGCATGCTTCCGTACCTTCAGTCGTCCGATGACCGGTTGCGCGCACATGGGGGAGTTTGGCTCTCAGGGCGTCTCGAGGCCTTCTTAGACTATTTTGTGGTTTGCTTGCGGCGATTTCGGGGCGTCATGGAATCCTCTTGTGGCCGTCCTGTCGGAGCTCTCGACGCTTCGCTTTCGGGCCAGCGGTCTGGCTGACTCAAGGCATCCTCACCCTGGATCACAGGACACCATCCCTCCAGGGCAGCCGTCGCCCCTTGCTCCCTGGAACGGGAACGCTTCCGCCGACGCCACACGCACACGAGAACCGTTGGCCTTCAGCCTAACGGGAGGAGGGGGTGGTGCGTTCTACCCCGCGATGCACACTGCTATTGCGACCTTCCGTCGCTTCCCTGGATTTGTTACGGCAAGCATGTTGCCCTCCCGCATTGCTTTTCCCCCTCTCTCCCCCCTTCCCTTCCCCTGCCCTTTGCTGGGCGCCCCTTCTCCTTCTCTCCTGTTCACCCGCTTGCGGCTTTCTGCCGCCCCCCCCCCTGACACGCGCACCTCTTGCCTTTGGATACAGGTGTGCGTGTCAGTTCACCGTCCACTCGGCCAGCACTGTTGCGGGTGGACCTGTGGCCCCAGGCCTTACTGTAGTTGTTTTCACCTGCTAGGCACAGCCTGGCGCGCGGCTGTGGGCTCCGGCGGTTTCGCCTGTCCATAGGCCGCGTCATTCCCTGGATCCTTCAAACTTTCTACGGCCTTCCGCCGTGCTCTTGGAACGAAGTGACTGTGAGGGACGCGTTTTGGGTATACGACGGTCCCGTCCCTCGGGTGCTACCTTACGTGCGAGTGGGTGGCGCTGGTCACTTTGATTGATGCACGTCCCAAGCGACCAACGTGCTTCTATCCGTTGGCTTCGTGCACCTTGCTGCGCTCTGACCAGATCGCTGGTCCTTCGGCGCAGGCGCATCTCAGTTGTGGAAGACTTTCCCTCGGATCTCGGCTTCTACTCTTTGGATGCGTGTTCTGACGTCGCGACGGTTCGCTGGCGCCGTCAGAGTACCTTTCCCGCTGGACTGCGTCACCAGTGTCAGTCTGTTTCTACCCGCCAGACTCCCTGGATAGACGTCCTGCTCGGAATCGTTCCCTACCCTTGTTCCTTTCGTTCACGGCGGGAACGCTCGCGCGCCATTTTGGCTGCGCTCGGCTTTCCTCGGTGGCTGTACTCAGACTCCCTGGATGTGCCGTTGCATGTGCCTTCAGGGGCTGCCGTGCAGACTCCCTGGAACGAAGTGACTCTGAGGGACGCGTTTTAGGTATACGACGGTCCCGTCCTTCGGGTGCTACCCTACACGCTTATGGGTGGCGCTGAGACACTTTGGATGTGCACTATCAGCTACGTGTTCCTACCGTGTGGCTTTGTGCACGCTGCTGCGCCCTTTCCAGTCGCTGGACCTAGGGCTCAGGCGCATCTCAGTTGTGGAAGGTTCTCTCTGGCTACTCTGTTTCCACACACTGGATGCATGCTCTGACGTCGCGATGGTCCGCATCTGCCGTCAGGGTCTCCCCGCTGGACTGTGTCACCGGTCAGTCTGTGCTACCCGTCAGACTCCCTGGATTGACGTCTTCGGGACCGCTTCCTTTTTGTTCGTATCCGAACTGTTGGGAACGCCTTGCGCGCCATTTTGGCTGCGCTCTGCTTCCTCGGTGCCTGTGTTCAGACTCCCTGGATGCTCCGTTGCATGTTCCTTTCAGGGGCTGCCCTGCAGACTCCCTGGATTGCACGCTTTGGCTCAGACGCCCTGGGTCGCTGCTGCCTGCCGTCTGACCGCGGCCTCGCGCGCGCCCGCTTCCTAGTCGCGGCCGCAGCCCGACCGTGACCGCCCGCCGCTGGCGCTTCCGCCTGCGGTTGTTAAAAAAAATCTCCACCAGCCGGTTAATTCGTCTTTGCGCGCCCCGCTCTGACTGGTTTCGCCGCTGGCGCGCTCGCCTGCGGCCGCTGACAACAAAGTATCTCCACCAGCACATCCAGCCAGCAGCGATGTCCAAGCGAGTTGCCTTGAACAGGGAAGTGGGGAAGCACACAGTGGAACAATGCGCTGGGAACGCCGTCGAATCGAAGCTTGCGATCAGCCCGAACAGGCTGAAGAGTGAAACACATGTGCCTTCGCGGCCCTCTCGAACGCGGGAGTGCTGGGGAGAAGGATCCCATTCAGTTTCTGGTTCAATTTGGTTGAAAGGAGGACGGATGCTCAGGAGGATGAAGAAAAAGAGGAGGAGGAGGAGAAAGGAGGAGGATGATACTCATGGAGGATGAGGCGATGGCAACGGCGACTGTTTGAAGGGGAGACATCTTGGTGGCCTCTTTGAACAATTTGTTGGCCCTCTCGTGCCATTTTGAAAGCTCTCGTAGCTCTCTTTGGGGCCCTTTGAGGACATCTTGGGAGCCTTGGATGCCCCCTCGGGCCATCTTAAGGGATATCGTTTAACGAATATCTTTTTCCGCGCGATGCACTGTTCGGCGGTCAAGCAGTGGCAAACCCCTCGGGAGCAATCTGCCGTGCACCAAGCGACCCTGAGGCGACGGCCCGCCCATGCACCGGGCTCCCAAAGGTGCACCGAGGGGGGACGGGGCCGCCGAGGGAGAGCTCAAAAACCCGAGTGGAACGCCGAACTCTTTGCTGGCGGAGCGTTCGACGCCTCCGGCGGCAGCCCCCCGGCGGTCTCAGAGCCCTGGTGCCCCCGGCGGTCTCAGAAGCGGGTCACAGACCTCGGGCGGTGCACTGCGGCGGTGCGTCCTGCAACACGTCAGTGAAGCTGGAGAAACTCAGAGGCGGGTGCCTGCCTCCAGGGGAAGGCGACACTCGAGTGTCCCTTTGATCCGACGCAAGCGAGCTTTGCCAGCGGCATCGAGTCTCCCTGACTCGTCCATGCCGCCGGAACGCCTCGCGCAAAAAGCTCCCAGGACCTTGTAATACCTCCGCTCGTCCCTGGAGAAGCCTGCGCACCGAACTCACACAATATCCGTGGGCGGCGCGTATGGCATTCCCTAGCTCGTCCGTCGTTGAAGCGCACTCGCCAAGGGCCGACGCTGAGCTCGAGATCGCTAGCAGCGGCGGCAGCTGTGGTAGAAAAGGGGAGCTCGGCGACGGCGGACGGGGCGCGGCCCGCAAGTGGGGCCAGCTGCTTTCGCTCCTGAGCTCCAGGCCGCGGCGTGCACGGGGAGCTGCACGACGCAGGCACAGAATCAGCACTACCTTTGGGCCCTCGGGCCCCAGGCTGCCGAAGTCGCCAGAGGTGCGCCTGGGAGGTGGCCGCGCCCCACGTCGCCCGCAGCCCCCGTTCGTTGACGCCGTTGACCACGGAGCCCGCGTCGCAGCAGACGACAAGCAGAGGGCAGGGAGTGCTTCAGCGCGAGCAGCACCGCCAGCAGCTCGCCGCAGTACACGTCCTGGACCAGCCCCTGCAAGCCCGCTACCAGAGGTTTGCAGCAGTACCGATGCCCTGGGTCGGTCCAGTCCGAACCCAGGGGCAAGCCTTGGTGTCGAAAGCGGAGCCGTCCACGAACATCTTGCCGCCTAGGAAAGTGCCGAGGTTCCCTGTCATCCAGCTTACGCCGCTCAGACCGTTGTTGCAGCTGGGCATCCACAGGCGGTGCGGCTCGGCCATGATGAGGCGTTTCATCGGCACTTGCACGAACTCGTTATCGTTGGGCGCCTTCAGGTCAGCCAAGACTTTGGTCTTGGTGTGTCTTGTCTCTCTTCGAATCGGGTCGGCTCGGCCGTCGTCTCGATTCGTATCGTTTCGGTGCGTGTTGGTGCAGTTCGTCGCGTCTTGGTTCGCCGCGCTTTGATCCGTCCATTCTCGCTGAGATTCGCGTCGGTTCGGAGTTGCCTCCTTTTGATTCGGTCCGTTACGGATCTGAATCAGATCTTGATTTCGAGCTTGTCGAGCGCCCCGCGCTGTTCGACTGCAACCAGGTCGAGACATGCGTCCAGGCAGCCAGAGTTCAAGACTCAGATCAGTTCGGTTTAAAGTAGATGCTGCCGCCAGGGACGACCTGATCCACAACGTAATCAAAGCGTATCGCAGCTCCGAGAACGGCGCATCACCATCGATTTCTTGAGTATGGCAATTGCCCAGAAGGGAACAGCGCGAGGAGGAATAGCATGAGGAGGAACAGGAGGAGGAAGGGAGGAGGAGGAGGCATTGACGTCGTCGCCATCACAACGCGGGCCACGTCCATCGGCATTTTGGTTCGAGCAGCTCCAGGGTTCGTGGCATCCCGCCTGCAAGGGCCCTCGTGCCCCTTCCCCGCAGCCCGCTGTCTGGCCCTGGCGCCTTTTCACACCGTGGCAATGGCTGGAGAGCGCGAGTTGACATCGAAGAGACGGGGTCTTCTGGACCGCTCCGCTCCTCCGAGGCGGAGGCGCGCGCAGACTCAGAGCGTGCCTGACAGAACGCCACGCGCGAAGAAATGTTGAAATGCCTGGAGGACTGCGGCTGGCGACGCGCCCCCGACGGCTGCGCCTGCTGCGCCCTCGCGCGCCGCCCCCGCGGGAGCAGCTTCTGCGGGCCCTGCGGCAACGCCGGTTCCAAGGCACCGCGAGCGCCACGGCCAGCAAAGTGCTCTTCTGGCGCGGACGGCGCAGCGGACGTGACGCACGCGTTCACGGCGCACGGCGCGGAGCTCGCGTCGGCCACGGTCCACGGACACAAGTTGGTCGAGAACATCGATCGCAAGTTTCTGATTGGGTGGTACGCGCTGCGCGTTGGACTCCAGGAAGCAGAGCACGCCCAGCGCGGCGCTGACATGCACCCCGCACTCTTACAGGGCAACGTGGCGGTTTACCTCCAGGGCGCGGTCGTTGGTCTCGTGCGCATCGCCGAACACCGCGCAAAGTAAGAGTGCAATGGGCACGCGTGGGCGATTAGGCCAGAGCGCAATGTGCTCTCAGCTTCCGCGTTGTTCGACCGCCCAGTGGCTGCGAGGCGAAATCACGGCCAATGGCCACCGCCCGCGGAGGTGCGGGACGGCGTTGTGGAGCTGATCCGCAATGGCGACTGCGTGCCGATGTTCTTCGACATCGGCGTGCTCACGGCGGCTGATTCATGCCGTTTCTGCCGACCCACTAGGTTGCCAATTCCGAACCGCGAGGGCGCTTGGGCCCACAGGGTGAGCGGTGAGCCCACGAGGTTGCCGTTCTATTGCGCGGTGAGCTCAGAATGAATCGGATATTGAGCTCGCGTTGGCGGCCTTTCCTGCCCTTCGATTTGGATCTGCTCGGGCTGGGCCAGGCGCCCAGGCAGCTCGAGTTGGAGGTCCAATTCAGTTCGGTCGGGTCTCGAGGACGACGAACCGAGTGTCGAGTCTGATATTTTCGACTCCAGGGCGCCAGGCCGATGCCGTCAGTTTACCCTGCTCAGTTCTCGCCCCATCGCGCCTCTGCCCGGCGTTACCTGGGCGGGGCCCCGTGACGCCAGGCGTGCGCCGACAGTTTCGAGGCAGTCATTCCTCGGCCCTATCCAGCATCGCACCCGCAGGGTCAGCTGGGACAGGCTTCGGTTGTCCCGCGATCCGCGGCGCGACCCCAGTCGCCTTGATATCAGAGCGCCGATTTGTTTAACAGTGGCGTAGACACGTCGCACGGTTCCTCATCTTTTCGCCCCTGTCGTGGTCGCGCTCGCTTCGCTCCGCTGCAGAACTGAATGTATCGGGCGATGGCTTCGGAACAGCCTCGACTCTTGAGATCCAGCTGGCCGAGTGCCCTGCGCGTCTCGGCTGCAACTACTACTAGCTCGAGCTTTGCGTTCAGGCAAGTCGAGCTCAATATCCAAACCGGTCACTGCAATGGCACGCGGCACTGTTCAACGTGGCGTGACACATTGCACGCATCACCGCGCGGCGCAGCACGGCGCAGTACAGCACAACCAGTTTCACGGTACATCACGATCTGTACCCCGAGCATTGTCATTGCCCGTCGCCCAAATTTGACATGTTGGAAATGTTGACATGTTTCGTATTTCTACATCTTTGTTTTCGGGCTCGTGGGTCGATCATGCTTGGTCCTTGCGCGAAGCGTTTTAAAGTGCAATGTAGAGGACGAGGGCGACGAGAGGAAGAGTGAGAGGAGGCACAGGAGAAGAAGGTGGAGTGGAAAAGGGAGGGGAGTGAATAACATAACGTATTTGTCCCAGCTACCCTATCTAGCTAGCCGTAGCTATCCATCGCATGTCCTTTCGTATCCATCGCAATGCGCACGCTCTGCCATAGCAGGTGCCAAGTAATCTCTGTGATTCACGATTTCCTTGGTTCTCTAAGGCTCTTCCAGACGGCGCAGGCACGAATCGTCACGTTACTCGGGGGCTTTGGGGGGGGGGGCGGCGGGCTACGGCCGCTCTCGCGAAACATAGCAAAACGCTCTCGAGGCGCGAGATCGGGCGACACCCCGCGAGCGCGCTGTGCGTGGAACCGCTGGTTGTTTTTGGGGTGCAAGTTGATGCTTTTCTGTCGAAGTGGATGCGCACATGGGTGTGTGTGTGTGCGTGTGTGTGTTTGGGTCTAGGGACACCTGGAAAACATTTCTCGACGACAAACGGCCGAGAACTGGGGCCGAAAGCTTCAGGAACCGCGCACGTCGTGGAACAAATTGCGGGAATCAGCCCCCAAAAGGGGCAAGCAATGACCCCAGATCTTACAGCATCCTCGAAATTCTGCGCTGGAGAACTCCGATTCGGTCGCCGCTGAAGGGCGGCACCTACACTCGAACATTCAAGGCGCTCAGCCCTGCAAGGCCTCTCGGGGCTGAAAAATAACTTCCGGGGGTTGGGAAACAACCGTTTGAAGTTGGTGGACGCGTTCGCCATATATTGGCCTCCACATACCTTCGAATACCTCCGTGCTCCCTCCTCCCTCTGCCGTCGCGGGTTCGCTTCTCCGGGGTTCTTGTGGTCGATCCTTGCGTAGCACCGACTGCCTCCGAGAGCCACTGTTGGCCTGGCGAGTTTCGTTACCAGCTGCTCCACAACCGATATGTTGTATCCTCATCTCTCGCAGGCGCTTCTGCATTCGCGGTGCCACCCGATGTGTGACTCAAGACGTTGTGGCTCGCGCTGCTCGGTCTTCTCTGATACCACTTCCGCGTACATCATACACTCATCTACGTGAATATGCCTTCCCGCCTTGCAAAGGGGTTGGCCCTGCTCGGTGCCGTACGCGTGCGTGCAGAGGGGGAGGCATTGACGACCGAGCTTGCAGAGGAGGTGCTTGCCTGGGCGGAAGAGATCTTGCCGAGTCCCTGGGAAGCTGTCTTCAACAGGCCGTCGAACAGGGATGTGGGGTCCGTCCAAGATCACCCAATCGAAGAGAAATATGAGCTTTACGTGGCTCCAGACTCTCTCGAGACTCAGCGTGAATTGGATGGCTTCCCGCCAAATGTCGCGATGGGCAGAGTGTTGATCAAGGAGAACAAGAAGCCCGCCATGCCGCCTACGGAATACCGCATGACAGGCGTCGGAGGCGAAACGGTGAGGCACCTCAACGGCATGGTGAATCCGTCCGGAGCTACGACTGTCTGGGGTTGGCAGAGGCTGAGGTTTTTGGCAGTGAAGACGTGGATTGATTACCTCGCGACCCGCAACACTGAAAAGATCGTCGTTCTCCATGCCAGTGGCGAGACCCTATATGCCGGCTGCGACGAAAACACCATCTCGTACAAGTACAACGAGATCATCACCGCTAGCGGTGGAACTCAGACGATTGTCTTGGCTGCTGAGGTAAGCCCCTGGCCCGAGGAGGTTGCGTGGCGCTACGACCAGACCGCTGGTATTCAGCAGCCTGCGGCAAACCCTGTCGCCGTGCTAGTGCAGCAGCGCACAAGGAAGGAGATTGAGCTCAGACCCCCAGTCTCCTTGTCCGCAGGCCTCTTAGGCGCTTATTCGGGCTCTCGTGGGACTTGGGGGTCTAGGGGGCCCACTGGATGTCTCGGAACTATTGTTTTGGGGCGAGGCGGTCCTGCCCATCTCTCTCGAGGAGGCTTAGTTGATTCATCTTAGTGACGTCCATGTCCTCTTGAGGTGGTCTTTTGGTTGGTTTTTGTTTTTAGGGGGTGCGGAGTGTTCTTCGGCTCGTTTTGGGGCTCTCATGGGACTATCTTAGGCCGCTTTAGGGGCTTTTTGAGGCTTCCTTATGTCTCCCGAGGCGATCTGAAGTCAAAAAGAATCGGGAGTAATACATGCTGATCCCCATCCCGCTTTGAATGCGTTTCACGTCGTAGTGTCCCGCTGGAGGTGCCTTGGGGCGTCTTTTGGAAGAATCCTGGGGCATCTTGCGCCGTCTTGGAATTATCCCAAGGCGTTTTGCAGCCGTTTTAGGGTTGTCATTTGTTGCCTTGATGTCGTACGGTTGCCGAACATGGCGCTGAGGAATAGCACCAGGATGGAACGATTCGATACTTGGGTGTGCGCGGGGGGGGCTGGACGGGCTTCGAAACCTGCAGGAATCCCATCAGACAACTAACAAGCATGATAACAATTCCCATCCGAGCAAGCGCGGTAGCGGGTATCGACAACTATGTCTAATTTCCTATCGGCTGTGGCCGTTGACCCAGCCTTTGCCACAACATATGCCGACTGCACTAACACCACTGTCGGGTATTGTACCACTCCGCCCAAGTACCAGTACGCGAGCTCAGCGTTCATCATGGGCCCCATCGGGGATATCTCCGACATGTTCGCCGATATGTATTTCTGGTCCGACTCGGAGAATCGCCTAGTCACCGAGTATTTCCTTCATAATCCTGACAAGGTAGCTCTCGACTACGCTGGCGTCCTGGTGCTTTCCCTTAACAACATGAAACTGGACGCGGGCATCCCCGTCACAGTGCAAAGCGCCTCGGGCACGAAATCTTTCCTGAACGCGATAACCAATTCTGCTGTGTGCTTCGTGCACGGCAGCGGGAATTCGTTCGGCGCCCTTAAGGTGCTTGCACAGGAGCTGCTCGCGTGAGAGCGCAGTCCCGAGGTACATGTTTCAGAGAGCACACGCGGGTGTCCCGCCAATTTGCCCCGGCTGCCGCTGTTTAGCCGTACCTTTGCATTCTTGGCATCTCCTAGGAAAAAGGCTTGGCCACAGTTGGAGAAGAATGCACCTTTCAAGCTGGGAGTGGCTTGCATGAAGGGCTGCGCTGGAGGAGGCCTGGGGGATCCCACCATGCAGCGCCGAGGGGCCTGCTCCGACCCCACTCGAGACGCAATTGGGGCCATTTGACTAGGGGCGACGACTGGCAGCACTTCGTTCTTATGCTTGTACAAGGCTCGCTGTCGGTTTCATCGCGAACTTACGAACAACTCGGGGAAGATCCGCATCTTGGTTCTCGTCATGTTTGGGCGTCTCAGGCTGAGCGACAGAAATTCAGGAGGACCCAACTTGGAGTTGGGGGTCCCTAGGATTGTCGTGAGGTCACTGGGTTCCATCTTGGGAGCGCCCTCCTGGGGACGTTCTTTACTCCTCGGTTGGGGGCCTCACAGGATACTCGGGCGGCCTCATGTGCCCTCTTGAACCCGCCTAGCCCCCTCTTATGTCTGCAGTCACCCCGTCGCCTTCCAGCCTGCCATCCTGCCCTCGGTCATCAGGAAGCCTCCTGCCAAGAGCCACCTCGCTCCTCTCCCTCTCGCTCTCCGCACCATGAAGCTGCTGATCCTCTTGATCGCCATCATCCTCTTCTTACCACTTCTCATCGTCATCACCCGATCTGCTTGCGGATCACCGAATCCGTTCGTCGCTCGTCGCGCCAGCCATTGCGCCATGGGTTTCGTCATCTATGGGTGTCCAAGGGGTACACTATCCAAATTTCTACCCGGGCCCCCCATTGCTTGCCACAGGTTGAAATTTCCACCTGGGCCTCCCAAGTCTCCCTGCAGGCCCTTGCAACCCCGCAGGGGCAGCCATAGGTTCGCTGCACTATCCATGGGTTGCATCATGGGTTGCGCCATCGGTATCGATTGCGCCTCAGATTCAGGTTGCGTCATGGGTTGCACCCTGCCGCCGAAACTTGAACGGCCTGCTGTTGGTTGCGACATCTGCTGCCGCATCCTAAACGGTCTGCTCTTATTGCTCCAGGATGCGCCCCCCTGCCGCCGAAACCCAATCGGCATGCCATTGGTTGCGGTATCGGCTGCGGAAACTCTCAAGTGTTGGTAAACGCTAATTGGCGCGCAGTCAATCACTCAGTTCACATGTCAGCTAGCCAGTCGGAACCCACAGAAATAGATCAGGGCTAAACGCAGTCAAGACACCCATTCATGTCGTTGCCGCCTCTCGGATGCTTGACGCCTTTCTTTCGTATCTTGACATGGCTCCAAGTGGTCTCGACCGCATCCCCTGCACGGAACCGTTTCTGGTCGTGGGTTGGGTTTGATTGTCCTGCGCCTTGCGGACGCTGGAAGCGCGGAAGCATGTCCGTCGTGACGATATTTCGCGACGCTTGGAGGTCCAGGCTCCTCCTCCCGCCCCTGCCCCACCCTTCTCTCCTCCACTCAGCGCCGGGGCACGCCAGGTGGAGACGGTGCCGGGCCACTGCTGCCCGTATTGCGTCAATCCGGACACTTTTCGGGGTGGCGTTTTGGCAAGCGGGAGCCTTGATTAGACCAGGCTTCACGAGCGAGGGGAGCAGGGAGGGGGAGGAGGACAGATCCAAAGTGCTCTCTTGATTGTCTGGGTCTCCTGTGAGGGTCTCGTCGCCACGGCTGGATTCGCTTCGGGTTTTGGTCAGCACACGTCCCAGGAGATGTCTGGGTATCGATTTTAAGAGACGGGGGCCCTGAAGACTCTCGGGGATCGCGGATAAAAGTTGTGTTTTCGTGTTTGCTCGTGCTTGGGCGTCTTAGGTTCCATGACCATCTAGAAACGACCCCAGCGACGGACAACTAAAACATTCGGTTTACCATGTCTTCACTCGGGGGCCCAATTCATGGAATTCGTGGGCGGTTGGAGGGTTGGTGAGGGGAGGGCAGTGTGCATCTGCGGCGTCTTATCGAAGACGCCTACGGCGAATGACCGCCGCCCCCTGCTTTTAGGATACGCCTATGTGGCCAGACGTTTAGGTAAAGTTTGGCCACGCTATTGGATCATGTGTTTCCCTGGCCGTTCTTGAAGCCCTTAAGGGAACACTTGGGGGAGGAAGTGGAGGATGAGGAGAGGGATGAAAAAGGAGCATGAGGAGGAGTAGGAGGAGGATGCCTTCAGGGAGCCTCTTGGGGCACTCTTGGAGCCTGCTGGGAGATTCCTGGGGGCCTCTTGGAGGCCTCTTGGGGTTCTCATTGGGCCTCATGGGGGCCATTGTGAGCTTCTTGGGGGTTCCTTTGGCCGTCTTAGGGCGTTCCTTGCCTGCCTGACGCCGTCGGAGGCCGTCGTGGATGCCTCTTTGAACCGATTTGGGGCACTCTTGGGGTGCTTCGAGGCCGTCTTGGAGCCCATCTCGGGCGTCTTACAGGTCTCTTGGGCGGTCTGGGGCCTCTCTTGGGGCCGTGTTGGAGGCTTCTTCGGCCGTCGTGGGGTCATCTTGGAGACCTTTGGGGCCATCTTTGGGCGATTCGGGGGTCCTCTTGGGTCGCGTTACGCCGATGCGAGAACGAACCAAACAAATGCCATGAACCTGGCGCACTCTAAAGTGAGCTGAGGAACGTCGGAAGCGAGCGTGCGCCCGCGGCCGTCTTGGTTCAAGCGGCCGGCCGCCTAGATTTGACTGTGCCTCATCGCGAGGCACACTATCGCTATCGATACTAAAAGGCATTCCCTTTTACTTGACATGGCTTTCCCTCTTGCATTGGGGTTATCGCTACTACGATACAGCCGAGCTGGAGCTTGGCTTCGCCTGAGGCGAAGCTGCTGGCGGGGCCTCCCAGCCCCCTTTCAAACTTGGTAGTGGAGCTGGCCTATGGTGGTCAGCTCTAGCTCTACTCCTCACCATCCACGGCACTATCTGGTGGACTACAGTTATGGTGGAACATCAGGGTGCAGTGGCATTGCGCGGAGGAGTGTACATAGATTCGCAGTACCGCAAGGAATCTTGCAGCGACACCTCTGCCTCAGCGGAGGTATCTCACTCCTATTCTACATCCCTGCGCTATTACACTCCTGAAGTCCACTCACCTACTCCACTTGGAAATTTCTTCGAAGATATAATGCATGGAAACATGCGATGATATGATGCACTGCCGCCTCCGACCCCTCGCAGACTTACGACGACAAAACACGAGTCTCCACCGACTACACCCTACTACGACCTACGAGGCCCTTGGATTGGGGTTGCTATCTTTTGGCTCATCTGGGTTGCTCTTGGATGTGCGGTGGGACATACGCGGGGCGGAGACGACACTAGGACGACCGGCCCCCATTGGGATCCTGCCGGTCAAGTACCATGTCGCGAGTTTGTTCGCGAGGTGCACGCCTGGATCAACGTGGCCACAGGCAACATGACTCCCTCCCAGCAGGCCGCCGCACTTCAGCGCGGTCTCGGAGGGCCCGCACGGACCATAGCCATGAGAGTTTCCCCAACAGTTATCAATTTTGGCGTCAATATAAGTGGTCGCCACACCGATGGCGTCACTTACGTTATGTTTTTCTTAAGTGCGAAGTTCGAGAACCTAGAAGAGGAACGCCAACTCAACTCTGGTACGGCTCTCATTGACTTCCGTGTCCATGCGGGAGAAAGGATCGACCAGTCGTTAGCACGGTTCGAGATAGCCCGCTACGAAGCAGAAACCGCCGGCTTCAACATCCCCAACTTCCAGATATTAGCAGTAATATTATTCAGAGCTCTGAGAGTGGGGACGTCGCGGGCACAGCAGCTCCTGCAGCCTCTGAACCACCATATGCCGAGAGACCAAGCACAATTTGACGCTCTCCTCGAACGTATGAGGTCATATGCTCACATAGCCGAGAGAACCCCTGGCAATGTCGGTGGTATTTTTAGTCATGGCCACCGAACCGAGACATTCCATGCAGAGGCCAATGCAGGGCAACCTGCTAACAACGTCTGGAGCGATGATATGCCGCCGTCTGAGACCACTACATTGTTGGCCCAGAATGGCCGTACGGCCTCGGGGTCTCAAGACCCCTGGGCCAGGTCTAGGGGGCCACCCGACGCGGTCTCCCCTGTGCAAGCTATGACCCTCATGGGCTCTGCGGGGCAGCCCGCCGAGTCCGACTTCGACTCCGGTACCGACACCGACGCGTCTTCTGATGATGAAATTACTACGCTGGATTACTCTGATATGCCTACCTACCTTTTGAAGAGCAGCGAGCTCAGTGGTTATTTTTGGGCCATCAAAAACACAAGCGTCGTTGGCGGAGATTCACGAAGAAACCAGTCAGAAAAGGCAAGACGTATGGCATGGCGAACACTCAAAGGAACAGGCAAGCGCCGAAGTAAAGGCAAATGTAAGCGTCGGCGACTACACGGTAGAGGCGCACTCGCATTCCTAGCATCTCTCACTGGGCCTCAGCACGAGGAAATGTTTTTAGGTGCTGGCAGGAGCCGTAGGCATACGCCAGGTAAATGCATGGGACGACGAGGGAATCCAACGGATGCCAACGGTAAAACCATGGAGTGCGACATATGCCACAGCACACAACACGTCCGACGCGAGCGCCCCCAAGGCGATGGAAGAGGCAGGGGTCCGTCAATACATTTGGTTCAGGCGGACTCCGACATGCAGTGCGTCGACCGGGGGTCACTTCTGGCCGACCCTGCTGACGGCTCAGCCAGAGTTATTCATTTCATGGCTCACTAGCCACAACGACATCGACTTGGCAGAGTGGCTGGGTATACCCATCGCGGGGCAACCTGCAGATATTGAGTTTGTCGAGAACTTCCACATGCTCGTCGAAGATGACTTCGGCATGGCGGGGGCACCCGCGGACTCTGAGTCTACCATTCCTGCGACAGATGCAGAAGTTCCTGCCGTGCTCTATCCTCGGGCGATCGGGAATCCGACACACAGGGAATCGATCAATGATGATCCATTGCGGGGAAACCCGCGAGACGTTGGTGATCGATCTGAACGCATTCAGCATGAGCTTGGACACACTGAAGAATTTCAGTGCACTTCTGTTGCGCCAGGTCGGTCTGCGAGCAGCCCGAAGCAATCGCCACGTCGCGTGCCCTTGATAAAGAAAAACATCGCAATGATCCAAGTCTTTTGCCAACGGTCGATGCAGACGAACATGATGACCGCATGGTCCGTCGCGGTCGAACTCCCAGCCTCTCGCCAGATCGGGCGCGAGCCCGCTCCTCGTTCGAGCGGTGTTCAGCGCCCCCACCCTCCCGAGGCAGGAACTTCATGTGGCCCGCCAGGGGGGGCGCCGAGAGCGCGCGCCCCCCCGGGGAGGGGGCGCCTGCGGAGAAATCTGCCTCAATACGATCAGCATCGCGAAGAAGAACATCCAGACGGCCAATTACAACGTTTATAAAGGGTTGGAGCAAGCCTGGGTTGTCTCGTTAGCAAATACCTGCTGATACGATGCAATATTGCCTGGGTATAAATTGGTCTGAACATCAAATCCGACACTGGTATTCTCTTCGCCAAGTTAAACGGAACGATGATGGTACTATCATTCGATCAAGGAAGGACAAACTAAAACGCAAGAAAAAGCAATCGTGCGTGATCACAAAAGGGCCATCATCGACGATCGAAAGACGTATCGAGGCGCATGCTGCACATGCCCCAGCTATTCCGATCACAGGCTCAGCTGTCCCATGACGCCCATCAAGAAGTCCGAACTTCAAAAAGACACCGTGGGTTTGGTCGCATGGAGATGGTCGGGGCGAATGTACTGATCCCAACAGAACGCCCTACCATAAGCGGATGACTGAAGAGAATTACCTTCCTGCCACAGCGACAGAAATTGAACGGACGAGTGTTATCTGGAATAGCTGAACACCTATTCATCCTCTGGCGCAGTTCAATCGTGCTTGGCACGCAGGGAAACCTGCCAGTTATATGTCAGAAGAAGATAGCCAGCCATATGCCTATGAAGTTGAAGATGAAGATGCTGAAAGGCGGAAGAGGTTGATCCTACGGATGCCGCCCTTGGCGACGGTGAAGCAAGTGACTCGGGCATTGCAGACGCCACATGTGATTCCGATATTTAAAGGCTGCCGCCTCTGCCGCCGACCCCAAATGGGGTCTTGTGTTTTCTTTGTTGTCCGGGTCGTTGCGAGCGGTTCCCGCAACTGCGGGGGAGAGAGGAGGGTGGTATTCAGTTTGAGTAGATGACGATGCGGGCAGCACTGCAGCGTGAACGCGACACGGGACGAACGGGAGCTTGGGTTGACTGCGCTTGTGTGTGTGTGTGTGCGTGTTGTGTGTGCGTGTGTTAGATTCCGCCTCTCTCTCTCTCTCTCTCTCTCTCTCTCTCTCTCTCTCTCTCTCTCCCTTGAGCAGCAATTTCTCATCAAAAAATGGTCTCGCCTGTTTTGGTTGACACTTGGCCTCGGATTGTATTCTTCGGGGCCGTTTTCTGGCCCCGGGGCCGTTTTCTGGCCCCGGGGCACGTTCCGTGTGATATGTAGCGCATGATTGTATCTACGTAGCATTC